GACAAGGGCTGCCCAGTCTCTTCTTAACAGCCTCCAGTGATGGAGCACCCACAACTTCTGGAGGCGAGCAGTTCCACTGGTTAATTGTCCTAACTGTCAGGAAATTTCTCCTTAGTTCTAGGTTGCTTCTCTCCTTGATTAGTTTCCACCCATTGCTTCTTATCTTGTCTTCAGGTGCTTTGGAGAATAGCTTCATTCCCTCTTCTTTGTGGCAACCCCTGAGATATTGGAACACTATTATCATGTCACTCTTAGTCCTTTTTTTCATTAGACTAGACATACTCAATTCCAGCAACTGTTCTTTATATGTTTTAGCCTCCAGTCCCTTGAAGGCAATTTTCAATTTGCAGCTACTATTTGTTTAGCAACTGTCTGAAGTAACGGTAGCGGTTTTTAAAAAAGGGACTTTACAACCAGTCCTCACACTTACAACTGTTGCAGCATCCCCCATGGTCACATGATCAATATTTGGGTGCTTGGTAACCATCATATATTTATAATGCTTGCAACCAGCCGTTTACAATCTTAGTAGACTTCCGACAAGCAAAGTTAATGGCGGAAACTGGTTTCACTTAACAAACATGTGATTCACTTAACAACCATAGCAAAAAAATAGCTACTCCAACACTGCTTTTTCTCCTTAACCCTTTAAGGTTGATCAGGCTGGAGAAGAGCAAATGCTCTTCAGCCTCAGGTAGCAAGTGCTGAGTTATTATGAACCTGAATTCAGGCTTCCTAAAAACATGAGGAAACAAAACATTTGGTGGGGGAAATATTCAGTTTCAGGCCTACTTATGATTTTCAGTGGAATTATTTTACACGATGTGTGAATCAAAGAGCTCCTGACATTGCAAATATCTCAGTCATTAATGAGTAGCTGCTACTGGCTTGGAAACTGCTCCTAAGGCCCAGGATCTTTTCCTTGAGGAACGAGGCGTTACACATCTGGATTGGACTGCCATTTGTCAGAAATGGTGTAGGGTCTCCTGCTTGAGTGTGTGTGTGGGGGGGGTTTGGACTAGATGACCTATAAGGCCCCTTTCAACTCTGCTAATCTGTTAAATCTTCCTCACTTTTGCCTAACTGCCTTGAGTTGTTGCCCACCTTGATTTCCAAGTCATCAGCTCTCAGAAGAAAAGGACAGATATAATAAAGTTAATGTGATGGTGAAAGAAAAATAGAAGTAGGAGGAGGAGTTTCCAGGTCTTGTTTGGGCTAAAAGTGACCCTGAGTTCTGGGAAAACACAAGATAACTATGGCTCATCGGACTAGAAGATCCAGGAACTGCATACAAAACACCGACCGGGGGTGGGGGTGGGGGTGGGGGGAGGAGAACATTCCTCTAAGGAGAATTTTACTAACAGTTACAGTAATTTATCAGTGGAATGGCTTTTCCCCCCAGAAGTTGTGGGTGCTCCAATAGTGGAGGTTTTGAAGAAAAGATTGAGCCACCGTTTGTCTGAAATGGTATATAGGGTTTCCTGCTTGGGTTGGACTAGAAGACCTCAAGACCTCAACTTCCCTTTGTTATCCTGCTAAAATGGCTTATGGAGAAAAACAGCATTTAAATTCTGATGGATCGCTTGAGATGGCCTTGTGCATGGCACCAAAGTGAAGGGTCCATTGTTTGAGTACATAACCTTTCACATCAACCCCCCCCTCCCCAAACTAGCGCACCTCTGCACTCCCCATTAATTAATCTGATGTAACTGAATATTTACGGCTGAGGCTGACAGCCTTTCAGTGCCTCCCATCGGGCTGTATTGGAGGTTAATTAAGCCATGGCAAACAATATTCCAAACCCCCAGCCTTTGTTTTCTCTCTTTGCAGTCCCAAAGGTGACTCACAAGCTCCCTGGCACTAAAAATCCCATGGGGTGGGTAGGGGGTTGGGTGGGGGCAAGAAGGAAAACAAAACGATCTGTGGGGTCCTTGTGGTCTCTGGGCTTGTTTGCTTACAGATGTTTCATTACCCAACTAGGTAACATCATCAGTATATAAGTTGCAATGTATAACAACATAATTATTTGCAAAAGCAAAAGACATGCACAGCAAAGCAGGCCACAGAAACGGTGAGGCTGCACATGATTTTATCTTATACAGCCCTTCAAACACTGATGATGTTACCTAGTTTGGATAAAGTGCAAGAAAACAACCAAGTTCAGAGAGCACCAAGGACCCCCTAATTTTAACCCTGAGCTACAAATATTCTCCTCTATGGACAAAAGCATATATTTCCCCCCACCCCCACCCCATCTGAGCTATGCAACAGATCAAAAGAACTTTAAAGGATAACTAACCAGCCCAGGTTGGGCGATTCGAATCCCTAGTATAGGCATCCTGCGTGAGCAGAGGGCTGGACTAGATGACCTCCAAGGTACCTTCCAACTCTGTTACTGTTCACTCCCTCCAATTCCCATGTCTCTCTACCTCCTGGCTGGGGATAATGGGAACAGGGAGCCCTGCCCGTCTGGAAGGCGCTTTGGCAAAGTTGAGGGGAAAAAAGAGGCTGCGGAAAGAAGGAGGGAGAGAAAAGGCGTTTTTTCCCTCTACCGCCGAAAAAAAGCATCGGAGGGTGGGGTCTCGTTTCCCACTCCCCGGCTGCGAACCGATTGGGCTTCGCACCAGAAAACCGGCGGGATCTTTCCGGCGCCCGAATATATCAGAGCGGGAGTCAGTGAAGCCTCTCCGGGCCAAGCAGGAAGGAGGACAGAAAAGGAACAGAAAAAAGCGAGCTGATGGGAGGAAGGAGAGAGAGAGAGAGAGAGAGAGAGAGAGAGATCCGCCCCGCAATCTCTGGACTGCATGGGAAAGTTCCGGGCAAAGGGACGGGCCGGCGACACGCATCCTGCACGTGGGAAACAGGGAGGCGTGCGGGGTTTGGGGAGGGGGAGCTCAGAGTGGGGCCCTCGGGGACTCACCCACGCCATATTTCTCCCGCTTGGTGGGGATCCAGCGAGCCATGCCGATGCTGGGCTGGAGGGGGGAGCCTCGCCCCTCCTGCTGCTGCTGCTGCTGCTGCTGGCCGAGCCCCGGCTCCGCGCTTCAACCTCCGCCGGCCTCGGGAGCCTCCAGCTCGCCTGCCATAGTCGGGGTGAACCCGGTTGCTGGCTGGCTGGCTGGCTGGCTGGTCCGCTGCTGCGCCGCCTTCCCCCTTTCTCTGCCCAAGTTGATTCTCCAGCCGCCGCCCGGGCAGCTTTGGGAAGTCCAACGGCCCGCCTTCTCTACCGAGGGCAGCCAGACGAGCAAAGGGCGGGCGCTCTCCGCCTCTTGCCGGGCGGGATCACCTGCTCCGACGGCCTCTCTCACTCTCTCTCTCTCTTTTCCCCTGCCCGGGATGGGAATGACTCGGCCGCCCAGGACGACGCTTTGGTGGGTCCGTCCGCGCCAGCTTCGGACCTTAATCCGAGGAGCTGCCGGCGCAGAAGTGTGTGTGTGTGTGTGTTTGTGTGTTTAATGCATGTGTGTGTGTTGTGTGTGGTTCTTGGGGTTCCCCTCTCACGTGTCTTTCCCAATATTTTTGCCATTTGGGGGGGATTTCTCCTCCTCCCCCCCCATCCCCAAGCCTGCTGGTCCTTCCCTTCCAAACGATGACCTTGGGCCAATACTGGTAGTCCTCGATTTACAACAGTTCGTTTAGTGACCGCTCAAAATTACAATGGTCTTGGAAAAAGTTTTTCACACTTAACAACCACCATGACTGTAGTGGTAATGGTCATCATTACAGGTGATTACAACAATGGTCATTACTGACCATGACTGTTTCTCAACCTGAGTCGTTTTAAGATATTTGACTCCAACTCCCAGACTTCCACCACCAGCATGGCCATTGGCAGGTATCCTGGCACAGGTAGTCCTTGACTTACAACAGTTCATTTAGCGTCCGTTCAAAGTTACAGCGCCACTGAAAAAAGTGACTTACGATCATTTTTCACACTTCTGACCATTGCGGCATTTCCATGGTCACATGATGAAAATTCAGATTCTTGGCAACTGACTCGTACTTATGACGGTTGCAGTACTCCGAGGGTCATGGGATTCCCCCCGTTGTGACCTTCTGACAAGCAAAGTCAATGGGGAAGCCAGATTCACTTAACAACCATGTTATTAACTGCAGTGATTCACTTAACAACTGTGGCAAGAAAGGGTTGTAAAATGAGGCAAAATTCACTTAACAAAGGTCTCACTTAGCAACAGAAGTTATCGGCTCAATTGTGGTTGTAAGTCAAGGACTGCCTGTATTCATTTTGCCCTTAAAAATAAATTTGTTGTTGAACAGCATTTCTCCACCGCAGCCTCTTGAAGATGTGTGGACTTCAATTCCCAGAATTCCCCAGCCAGCAACAGGAATTCTGGGAATTGAAGTCCACACATCTTCAAGAGGCTGCGGTGGAGAAATGCTGTTC